TCACCACGAAAAATGGGGGGACTGTCGCCATAGTAAATAGGACGAAAACCCACACACACACACACACACAAACACTCACACTAAATGCAGACCGATGCCCGAGGCAATCACAGACAAGATCTGCGTGAACGCCACCGAAGTCAAATTGTCTTGCGCCCTGCTCAAAGTTTGCCACACCACCATGATGAGCATCGCGCTGCTCGTCAGGCTCAGCCGCACCTTGAACCGCTTCACCCACGCCTTCGCCCCCGGTACTGCCTCTCTAATAACCTTTCCCACCACCAGCGGAACCAGAACACTGATGATCTGATCACAAAAACACAGGCAACGGCAGCATGGAAATAGGCAAAGAGATTCAGACAACACAAGGCGAGACGCCGAAAAGGAACGACAAACGGAAAGGGTGGATGGGTTTGTTTTTTGTTCGGGTTCCAATCCAGTTTGATAAGGATCCTACGCCCTGATTTTCTCTCTCAGTTCAACCTATCCACAGCCAAAGAGGGACCAAGGTGGGGATGGTATGCCGACAAAGGGTAGCGCTAAAAAAGAAAGCGCTGTAGGTTTTTTAGGCACCATGTCCTGATACTCGTTGCACCCCAAAAGTATCCCACTGACGAGAGCGGCATGACGAAGCGGTTCTTGAACAGGTACTCAATTGCTGCGCTAAATTTATTTGTCCAGTTGCCAGTGCAACAGTACGGTATTTTCAACAAGACACACTTGTCCGAACTCACCAGCTTGACGAGAAGGCCCACCGGGTCAATGGACGCATCGTCGCCGGCGTTGACCACACCCTTGACGTAAAACGGAACGGTCACAACTCCGAGCAAGTTGGTTGTTACGGTGAGGAGGAGCGCCAGGGCATCGTTTCCTCCAGCCTGTGGCGATAAGGTGAAGGGGGGGGCGCACGACGTGAAAAAAGCAACGAAACACCGGGAAACGCCGTGGAGGCTGAACCACTCAACACTTCGTAGCAAGTGATGCTGCGGCGCGGCCCGGACGACTTTCATTGCCAGGCTCTTTTTTTTTCATCGATCTATTGTTTCCCGCAAACACGGGGATGCAGCACATTCGGTGGCACCTGGAATCTAAGAACTACACAGCAGTATCTAACTCGTCTTCAGAGTACGTTAGTCCAGTAGTCTACTACGTACGGTAGATATATGGACATTACAACATACCACAACCACATTCATGAAAAAGGGAAAAAATTCTACCGACCTTCTCTGTAGGGTACTGAAGCGTCACAGAACTAATACGCGTTTTCTGTAGGGTATTGGAAGTGCCACAGATCTCGCAGAAGTATCCGGTAGCGTAGCAGAAGTGCCACAGAACTCGTCTGTAGAGTTCTGTAGGGTAAATACCCGGAAAATATCACCGGTACCTTCTGTGAGTACCCTACAGAAAATTCCGATACCCTGTGATGTACAAATAGTAGCACCCGCCACTACTCTAACTCACATTCATGACCAGGGTCACCCCAGACGACAGCGTCGTGGGCACCACGCAAAACACCGACAAGCCGTAGGAGAACTCATCCACGTCGAAGGGAATCTCCGCAGCCACGAACCCCACGGCGCCCGTGATCCCCAAGATGGCTACGACCCCGTAGATGTAACCCCATCTCCCCTCCTTGCTCAAGGCTTCCTTGATATCGTCGGTCTTTAGAGTCAGGCCGGAGATAATGAAGATGACAATGACGTTGATGGTTTGCACGATGCGGTAGTCGTCAACCTTCGGCTTCGCCACCGCCTTCCCGGGCGCCGGCCAAGCGAGGGCGATCACCAGGGCAACGAAGAAGCCCAGCGGTAGGACATTTTTTATGCAGAACTTCTGCACTCGCTGCCCCCGTGACTCCACTAGCGTTGTCATGATGCGATGGGCAGGATAATCTTGTGTCCGTCCTGCTTGTTTGGTTGGTCTCTCTCAATTCTCTGGCGGTTAGATCCTCGCTGCTGGCTCTCTTGTCCCGAGGGAAGTCTTGAAAATTACCTCCAAACTTGTCTTCCTTGGGCCACCTGCCTGCGTCCTCGGGGGTGATGTTGTGATGCGGGCCTGTTAAGCGTTCTCCGAACACAAGCTCCTATTCCAGGAGAACCTTGCCACGCCCTGATTCACCCAACCACACCGCAGTTGGGCACTAGACCAGCCGGCAGCCCAACCAGCCCCGAGAGGTTGGAATGACGTGCCTCGCGTCACACGTTTCCAGTAACCCTTGTTCAAACACCGCCACCGTCAGAGGCTAAATTTCACCCTTAACGCCGTTCACAACCGGCGGAATCACAGAGAATGCTTTGGTTTCCCTAGGGCACACACCTGGTGCGTGTTGCTTGGTGTGTGCTGTAGCGACCCTCGTGCGTGGATGCGTTTTCAGCGTCCTCAGGTCAAACTTTTTATTCGAACCAAACCAAAATGCCAACTTCGCTAGACAACCTCTTCCCCTTCTCGACAACACGCGCGGGCTGCCGGGCTGCTTCTGCGAGCTGGAGGGTAGCAGCGTAACAGCGCGCTGGCTGTGCCACAACGTCGCAAATCGGCTGCCGCCGGTCTTACACGTAGAGACGAAGCTGTCTTGGATACGGTGCTGGCACTATTTGACGGGAGAACGTTGGTGTTGTCGCGTCCGTGTTGGAGGGCAATAAAGAGCCCTCGCTGCTTGTCGCTTGCCGGCAGGCACGCGGGTTTTGAAATAGCGAAATAGTCTCTTGCCGCCGTCATCAAGTACGTACATAGTCCAGTGGAGAGGCGATATCTGCAATAACCAACGTCGGAGGGCGGGATAGACACGAATCGTACAATGGCACAGCCTCTAGACGCCGCCAGGCTGGCCCACGATCTATCCAAGCGCATCATGAAACACCCTGGCGCAACAGCAGCAGCAGCAGTCCCTGGCAAGGCGCCGCTGAAGCTCCTCCAGTGGGCCCTTTCCCAGCTAGAGGAGTGCGCGCGAACGCGCTCCGTTCCCGCTTCGAACGTGGTGGAAGTTGCGATGGCGGCTATTAAGGACGAGATGGGCGTGCCGGCGGGAGAGCAACAATCTCCTGCTGCGGATGTTGCGGCGCATCCCGCGTCTGCGCCTCGTACCAGCGGCGGTGCTGTTGACCGGAGTTCATCAAAGGGCGGCAAGGAGGGGACCAGGGAAAAGAAAGCTGGAGGGAGGAGCGGTGGCGGGCGATCGAAGGGAAAGGTGGTGTTTACGCCGTTGTACGGCTGCGACGAAGGGGCGACTGGGGTGGAGCCTGTGAGCTCGATATTAGAGGTGAGTTGCAAAGGCATCGATGCAGCAGGAGTGCTTCAGTCTAGGCTGTTAGACTGCTGCTGTCGAGTACATGAGCAATCTTTGACACCAGTGTCGCTTCGCACACGTCGACCAGTTCTCATGAAACTGCTGCTGTATGTAAGCTCAATGTGTACCGTGAAGTTAAATTGGTTCCATCGTCCCAAGGTATTAGGTTTTCACCCGCACAACCCCGCCAGTGTGTCCTCCCACAATCACAGGCATTCACCACACATGTATCTCGCCGTTCGCCGCCCCAACGAACCGGCCCGAAAGCTTTTTGCTGTTCTGCACACACGGGTCGTCCCGGTGGTCTAGTGGTATCCTCGTGAACCGCTCGTCGCAGAGGTCGTGAGTTCGAATCCCCATGGGGTGAAAAAATTACGAACTTTGCGGGTGAAAGCGAAATATTGCTAAAAAGCTCTCGTGAGTACCAAACTTCGAC